CTCAACTCATCAGTACAAAGATTGCTTATAGAACCTTGGCATTTCTCCAATGGCAAGGAATTTAAAGTTCATCTAGGAAAGTAAAATATACAATACTTAAATACTCTCAGGAGGTATTCAAACGAAATAAGGTTTCACTGAAGGCAATTGAGTCTTGATCAAGGAGGATGGAGGAACTGGTTTAGAGACTCAGGTCAGTGGCAGTAGGCCAGGGGTGATTATTAATTCTTTGAAACCCAAGGTGATACCCTTGAAGTTGCCTGAAATGTTAAAAGTATATATAGTGTCAGAGCATAGCAGAGTCTAGTATTTCTGAAACGTGCACCCAAAGAGATTTCTTTGTTTTACAGTGGCCAGCATGAGTCACTATGGAGCATGATAAGATGTTGTGGGTTTTGGGTTTTTGTTTTGTTTTGTTTTTTACAGAACAGTCTGTTTCAAGTAGGTTTGAGACCAACAACCTTCCTTAAGGGTTAGCGAAGTACATAATGTAAGTTGGAGAAATTGTGAATGCCCTTAATATTAGTCAGGGTTCTACAGAGAAACAGAAGTTAGACACATTTGTATACATCTTATATGGATTCTGCTTTATGTTAAGGAATACGCTTATAATTGTGGAGCCTGGTAATTTCAAAATTCTCAGGGTGGTCTCACTGGAAACTCCTCCTGTAGGGTTTCTAACTTACAGTCTTGAGGCTGAAATATTTCTTCTCTGGCATACCTATTTCCCCTGTTAAGGCCTTCAACTGACAGGAGGATCTACATCTTCCTTATCAGGGTAATCTCCTTTATGTATAACCGATCGAAGCCAGCAATGTGGCATAGCAGGTAAAGCTGCCGCGTGTGACACCAGCATCCCATGTGGGTGCTGTTTCTTGTCTCAGCTGCTCCACTTCCCCTACAGTTCCCGGCTAAAGGCCTGGGAAGAGCAGCAGAAGAAGGCTCAAGTGCCTGCCCCTGCCACCCACCTGGGAGACCAGGAAGAAACTTCGGCTTGGCCCAGCCTGGGCCATTGTGGCCAGTTGGGGAATGAACCAGTGGATGGAAGATCTCCTCTCTCTCTCTGTGTGTGTGTGTGTGTGTCCCTCTCTCTGTGACTTTGCCTTTCAAATAAATAAATTTTTTTAAAAAAGTCAATGATTATAGCTGTTAGTTTCATCTACAAAATATTTTCACAGTAACCTCTAGACCATTACTTGACAAAACTGGCCACCATAGCCTAGCCCAGGTGACATAAACCCTGTTAGCTGATAATCATTTCTTCTGGAACATAGGCTGAAGAACTTCTACTTTGCAGTTAGATGTTCTCTGAATGCAACATTTACAATTCTGTAACCTTGAAAAGTCACCTAATCTCAGATTTCTTGTAAAACAGATACAGCAATACCCTTATACAGTTAACATGAGGACTGGATGAAGGATCTTTGAAAAGTACATGAAATATGCATATTATGAAAACACTACACATGGATTTCCCAAGTGTTTTGAACCAAAATAAACTTCCCATTCCATTTTAGCACAAACTTTTTGAAATATCATCATATATTTAAATGGTGTATTGCATGTATGTGTGACACAACTTCTAATATACAGCAAGAATTTCATAAATTTAACTTTGGTTTACATTGATAGTTATTACTACCCTGTAAAACATAATGATTTGTATTAGAACTAGTGTTATTCATGGGTTATTTAGCTGGATGTCCAAGAAATACTGAAATTTGACCTGAGCCACATTTCCTCATCGTGGGCTGTTTTCTAAGGCAGCCTCACTACAAAGAACATCCAAAAGTATGAAAGTAAACACCAAGTTATTGTTAACCAGTCTATTTCCTGACATCTTTGTTAAACCTTCCCGATAATACAAATAATTTTCCAAAATGGGGCCACTGGTAAATAATTTACCCTCTGGCAGATATAGGAAGTGTGAGAGATGACGTGGGAGAAGATCAAATGTACACCTTGACCAAAGCTCTCTGACAGCAGATCCCATCAGGAGAAAAAGAACCTGTGCCTGAAGGGGAAGCAGGAAAAAAAATAGAGATGCATTCAAAATCCAATTTGTCTCTGCCCATTTTTCTCAAGCCTGCCATTTCTTTTAAAAGATACTAAGTGGTCAGTGCCACGGCTCACTTGGCTAACCCTCCGCCTGAGGCACTGGCACCCTGGGGTTCTAGTCCCAGTTGGGGCGTCGGGTGCTAGTCCGAGTTGTTCCTCTTCCAGTCCAGCTCTTTGCTGTGGCCCGGGAGTGCAGTGGAGGATGGCCCAGGTGCTTGAGCCCTGCACCCACATGGGAGGCCAGGAGGAAGCACCTGGCTCCTGGCTTTGGATCAGCGCCGTGCGCAGGCCGCAGCATGCTAGCCGCAGTGGCCATTGTGGGGGGGGGGGTGAACCAATGGAAAAAGGAAGACCTTTCTCTCTGTCTCTCTCTCTCACTGTCCACTCTGCCTGTCAAAAAAAAAAAAAAAAAAAACAAAAACAAAAACACAGCACCAACACTTGTCCTCCTGTGGACTCAATTTTAGGCTTCAGGATGCCTTGATGAGGGCCCATCTGAATCTTCATTCACCAGACTGGGGACAATAGGTGAACATGGAAATATGCTTTCCTATAACAAAGTCTACAAAGAGAAGGAATGAAGGCTGTAGGAATAGTTGGAGAAGCAGTCATGAGAAGAGGCAATATGGACAAATAGGAGATTGGAGTAATTGCAATTTGAATATTAAAGAAAGAGTCAACTTTTTTAAGTCCCAAGCTCCTGTGTCTTAGTAATGCCTTGTTTAAATATATGATTCAATGCAGTATTTTCCAAACTTCCATCATCCCCAGACCACTGTAGTCATTTCTTCATATCTACATAAAACTGTTCTATTACTTAATATTTTTATTAAATCAAGTGAAAGTTGATTCCTTCACAAATTTAGCCCTATATGTCTAATGATTTCTGTGAAATCATGTAGACAGTTGTTTGAGTATGTGTGTCACATTCAAAATAGATTTTAAATCTGCCTATGTAAACTGCCAAGTTTCTTTTTTTATTTATTTTTTTTATTTTTTGACAGGCAGAGTGGACAGTGAGAGAGAGAGACAGAGAGAAAGATCTTCCTTTTGCCCTTTTGCCGTTGGTTCACCCTCCAATGGCCACTGTGGCTGGCGCGCTGCGGCCAGCGCACCATGCTGATCTGATGGCAGGAGCCAGGTACTTATCCTGGTCTCCCATGGGGTGCAGGGACCAAGCACTTGGGCCATCCTCCACTGCACTCCCTGGCCACAGCAGAGAGCTGGCCTGGAAGAGGGGCAACCGGGACAGACTCTGGCTCCCCGACAGGGACTAGAACCCGGTGTGCCGGCGCCACAAGGCGGAGGATTAGCCTAGTAAGTAGCGGCGCCGGCCCAAGATAAGTTTCTAATTCAGCCAACTGGAAGTGTGTCAAAGCTTTGGGAGACATTTGTTTTCCGTGGGTGAAACTATAGGTTTCAAATTACATTTCCGAACTCTTATTATCTTGACAAATGTTTGTCAATTACAGTGTCAGAATGTTTTATGCACGTTGTTGCAGGGATAATCGATGAAAATCAAAGCTGCTGCTCTCACTGAGTTTTGTATCAGCGGAGGAAACAGGCAAAAAAGAAAAAGAAATGTTTGTCAAAATGATACGTGCTATAAAGAAAATAAAGCAAGTGAAGAGGAAATTATGTTCCTGAGAAGGTATAATTGTATTTCAGTCCAAGTGGAACCAGTATCTGCTCCCCTCTCTTTTTTTGATGATCATTCGGAGACAAGACAGCAAGGAGGGTAAAAACAGAAACATAAAGAAGCTTCTATAAAAATAAGCAAACACAACGTGGTTATACTGGCAAGCAATCCTGACATTAAATAGGAGAAAGGATTGTCCAAACATTGAAAACAAACTGAATGCAGAAAAAAGAATTTCCTGGCTGCAGAGCTTATGTAAAAAGCCATAAGTAATGTTTATTTTTAAGTTGATGGAATAATCCTAAGATTCAAAACCCTGTGTTTTATTTAGAAGACTGGGGACAGGATACCTGCCTAAATGCTAGGGACTTCTGTGGGATGGCTTGATCTTGAGGGAAAGAAGATACAGACAACCCTCACTGAAGGTCAGGGCATGGGAATCAGACACTGCGGTTGCCTGCGAGCTGATGTTCTCAATATTTTTGCTCAAGTAAAATTAAAGAAATTTCTCACACACATTAACCTAGAACATAAAACATTTCCCACCATCCTGGAGCATCACACCAACCCATATTTTGAAAACATCTCCTTCAAACAATTGGGCCAACAGAAAAATATTTTATTCAAAAATGAATTATCAAAGCAGAATGGGCAATATATAAGCTTTTTTATTTATTTTCATGCATTTCATAAACATACAACTTTAGGAATATAGTAATTCTTCCCACCGTACTCACCCTTCCAGCCACACTCCCACCCTCTACCTCTTCCCTCTTCTGTTCCCAGTCTTGTTTTTTATTAAGATCTTTTTTCATTTAACTTTATACACAGAAGATTAACTCTGTTCTAGGTAAAGAGTTCAACACTCTGTATGAGAAAGAAAAAGAAAAAAATGTTTCTCAACAGTCCAGATAAGGGTTGTTAAAAGTCATTGCATCTCGAAAATAATTTCGTTTTTCTTAGAAACTTAATTATCTTTAAAGAAGAACCCAAGAATGATACATCTTTTGCAAGCACTTAGACATCACTATAACTTATGAGCCATAAGAATAACCTCCAGTTACTACACTAAAGCAAAGTTTTTTGAGAACAAGTTTTACTAGTAAGTCTCATAATACAACTCTTTGAGGACAGAGGTCCTGCATGCGAACGTAGTGCACAGTGACTCCTGTTGTTTATTTAACAATTATTCCTCTTAACAACTTAGAAACTTTAAGTTGTATAAGAAAATTCCAAGTTGTATAGTTCAATCCCTTGATTAGCCCCCAAAAATATAGCAAAAAGGAATGTAAAATTAAAGAGATATTTTTAAAAAGATTTATTTTATTTATTTGAAAGAGTTACAGAGAGAGGTAGAGAGAGAGAAAGAGGTCTTACATCTGCTGGTTCACTCCCCAGATGGCCGCAATGTCCAGAGCTGCGCCAATTTGAAGCCAGGAGCCAGGAGCTTCTTCCAGGTCTCCCACGTGGTTGCAGGGGCCCAAGGACTTGGGCCATCTTCTTCTGCTTTCCCAGGCCATAGCAGAGAACTGGATCGGAAGTGGACGAGCCAGGACTTGAACTGGCGCCCATATGGGATGCCGGCATTTCAGGCCAGGGCTTTAATCTGCTACACCACAGCGCCGGCCCCAAAGAGATAAATTAAAGGAGAGTTTTAAATACACCCAAATAAAGAAAATGGGGGGAATAAATGAAAACAGGATAGAGAATCAAAAAATGGAGTGTACAACAGAAAATAAATAATAAAATGAAAGACCCGAAGCTTAGCATATCAACAATTTAATTAAATGTTAGTGGACTGAACAGATAATGGGGCCAGTGATGTGGCACAGCAGGTTAAACTACTGCCTGAAATGTTGGCATCCCAAGCACCAGTTCGGGTCTTGGCTGCCCTGCTTCCTATCCAGCTGCCTGCTAATGCACCTGGAAAAGCAGTGGAAGATTGCCCAAGTGCCTGGGCCCCTGACACCATGTGGGAGACTTGGATGGAGTTTTAGGCTCATGGCTTTAGCCTGGCTGAGCTGTGGCTGTTGTGGCCACTCATAGAGTGAACCAGCAAATGGAAGATCTCTTTCTCTCTGTAATGGTGCCTCTTGAATAAATAGATAAGTCTTAAAAAAAAAAAGCTATGTACTCTGAGTGTATATGCTAGAAGAAACTTTTTTACTATAAATAAATGATAAATATTTGAAGAGACCCATATGCTTACCTGGATTTGAACATTCCATAATGTATACATGTATCAAAACATCACATGGCACCCCATAAATATATACTAGTAACAGTTTTAGAAGAAAAAGAGAAAAGAAATAAAAAAGCAAAAGCACATCCTATCAAAAGAGAGTTGTTATAAATAATACAATTAAGGAGTGGAGTATTGACATACCCCATGTGGATGAATTTCAAGGACATAGTGATGAGTCAAGAAAATTTATACAAACTCACATACTCCATGATTCCATTGTCATCAAATTCTAGACTAGACAAGTTGTCTAGTCCTCCTGTGCTGCTATTCAAAAATATTTGAGACTGAGCAATGTATACAAACAAATGTATTCTGGGGGCTGAAAGTCCAAGATCAACGTGGCTGTTGAGGCCCAGTCTTCAATGCCAAAATGGTGCCTTGTTTTTGTTGTGTCCCCAGGAGGGAATGAGCCCTGAATTCATGTGGCAGAGGGATGCAAAGGGCATCCCTCCCTGAGCCCTGTTTATGAGGGCTCTGTTCTCTTCTGTGAAGGCAGTGTTTTCATGACTTAAGGACCTCCTAAAGGCCCTACCTCTTAATACTATCACATTGATTATTTTTAACATGTCAGTTTTGTAGGATACATTGAGACCATAACACATATTAATATGTAATGGGAAAAGCATGCATTTCTAGGAGATTGATGGTAATGGACTGGACAGAGCCATGACGGAGCTTTCTAGACCGGTATTTTTTTGGTAAAGATTTATTTATTCATTTGAAAGTCAGTTACACAGAGAGAGGAGAGGTAGAGACAGAGAGAGATGTCTTCCATCTGCTGGTTCACTCCCAAGTTGGCCGCAACGGCTGGAGCTGCACCAATCTGAAGCCAGGAGCCAGGAGCTTCTTCCAGGTCTTCCCATGCAGGTTCAGGGGCCTAAGCACTTGGGACATCTTCTACTGCTTTCCCAGGCCACAGCAGAGAGCTGGATCGGAAGTGGAACAGCTGGGACTCCAACTGGTGCCCATATGGGATGCCAGCACCACAGGTGGCGGCTTTATATGCTACACCACAGCGCCAGCCCCTAGACTGGTATTGATATCTATATTTTAGTAAGGATTTTATATATAGGTATATGTATTTGTTAACAGTCAGTAAATGAAATCTAAAGGTCTATATATTTTTGTATGCAAATTTTTACATAAAAGTAAAGAAAAACCCTAGAGGCTGTTGTGTAGTGAGTTAAGATGCCTCCTGCAATGCTAGCATTCCCCTATCAGAGTGCCACTTCAAGTTTCAGCTGCTTCATTTCACGTCCAGCTCCCTACTTACGCACCTGGGAAAACAGTAGAAGATGGCCCAAGTGCTTGGGACCCTGCCACCCATGTGGGAGACCTACATTATAATATTGCATTATTATATATTTATAATGTGTATTAGAACATAATCATAATTATGTTAATTATAATTATGTTATAATACACATAATTACATATAATATACATTATAATACACATTATGATTATATATTTATAACAATCATTATTATGTTATAATACACATTATAAATATATAATCATAATCATTATATATTTATATATTATATATATTATAATTATAATAATTATTATTATTATTAGACTGATATACTGAAATCTGCAGTTTATTTTGAGAAGCATCAAGTAATAAAATGCTTTTTTTATGGATGGCTAGAAGAATTTATATATATTATAATGTTAATTCCGAAATCATCATGGTGAGGTTATGAGATATCAATGTAAAATTCTTTCAACTTTCTAGTGTACCTGAGAAATCTGTAATAAAATGTCATAGCACAATTAAGTCAATCAAACTCCATACAAAGACAACATTTTGACACAGCATTGAAAAATGTGATGGCCAAATGCATCTTTGTGAATCAAATTGACAGGATAAAAAATAAGTATCAGTAAAGACAAAATATCAGTAAGGATGCATAATATGGCAACAATGAAATTGTATTAGCTAGCTATTACCAAAGTAATGCTATATTACAAGCCACTGACAATTCAGCTGCTTGAAGTATCAGCTATTTAATCCTATGCATCTGAAGTTGCCCTGGACAACTCTGCCTGTTGTTACTAAAAGTACTTTGTCCCCCTAGGACCTGCAGATGAACAGGAATGTGTTCCTGCCAGTGGAAAAAGTACAGCAAAGCTATTGGAAACCTGTGAGACCTCTAAAACTGCGAGCTCCAAATGGGCTCATTGTCACTTCCAGTCACACGCAATTAAAGCGAATCATATAGTCAAGGCCAAAATCAAGGTTTAAAGAAATATATTCTGTTCATGAGAGGCCATGGCAAGGATGGAAATGTAGAGAGGGCAGAGAATCGGGGCTAATTGCAGGGTCTAATACAAACTCAACCTAATAAATATGCAAGTACTTCGAAAATTAGTGGAAAAGTGGAATTATAAGTTTAGGTTTGGAGCCAGTGTTGTGATGTAACAGGTTAAGCCACCGCCTTGATACTGGTATCCCATAACGGGTCCAGGACGAGTCCCAGCTGTTCCACTTCCTATTCAAACCCCAGTTAATACACCTGGGAAAGCAGCAAAAGATGGCCTAGATGTGTGGGACCTGGAAGAAGCTCCTAGCTTCCCCCTAGTCCAGCCCCCAGCCATTGCTATCATTTGGAGAATGAAACATCAGATGGAAGATTTCTCTTACTCTTTCTGTCTCTCCCTCTTCTCCCCAAACCTCTCCCTCTCTCTCTTTCAGTGTTTGCAACTCTGACTTTCAAATAAATAAAAATAAACCTTTTAAAAAAGCTGTTTAAGGGAGGGCATCAATTAAGATGCTCCAGTCCTGTGTTGGAGTACTTGGACTTGATACTTAGTTCTGGCTCTGGACTCCAGTTTACTGCTAATATATATTCCATGAAATAGTAGTGATAGCTCAAAAGTGATTGAGTCCCTGCCACCTTCATGGGACACATGGGTTGAATTTCTAGCTACTGCCCTTTGGCCTGGGGCAGCCCTGACTGTTGAAGACATTTGGGAGTGAACCAGCAGTGTTTCTCTCTCTCAATAACAAAGTACAATATATAAAAGACCATGTGCTGTAGTTAAAGTAGCCTAAAGTGTATAAATTTAATCTGAGGAAAAAGGCAAAATATTAGTGAGTTGAATTTTGATTTAAAGCATTTCTATTAAGGTAGAAAACTCTAGAAAAAAATGAATAACATAATAAAAATATTAAGTAAGAAAAGAATTAAGAAAGCAATATTTGGTATTTGAAAAACTGGCACAATTGATAAATACCTTATTAATTTGATCAAGGCAAAAAGGAGATATAAGATGAGAATTAAAAAGGAAAAATTTGAAGATCCTGTTATTAAAAAACTAGATGAGAATATTCTGAGGAAATCTATGTCAACAGGTTGTGTTCACATCCTTGGTCATTTGTTGCACTAAATAATTCTCTCTGTGTACAGGAGTAGATGCTTATTTTTGTAATTAAATACCTGTGTCCTGGGGCTGGTGCTGTGGCGCAGTAGGTTAAGCCTCCACCTGCAGTGCCCGTATCCCAGATAGGCTCTGGTTCTAGTCCCGGCTGCTCCTCTTCCCATCCAGCTCTCTGTAGCTCTCTGTTGTAGCACTAGGGCCTCTGCACCTGCATGGGAGACTGGGAAGAAGATCCAGGCTTCTGGCTTCAGATCGGCCCAGCTCCGGCCGTTGCTAACATTTGGGGAGTGAACCAGAGGATGGAAGACCTCTCTCTCTCTCTGTGTCTCCCTCTCACTGTAACACTAGCTCTCAAATAAATAAATATAATCTTAACAACAACAACAAAAAATAAACTTATGTCCCATATCAGGGTACCTGGGTTTTGATTCCAGTTTTAGCTCCTGACTCCAGCTCCCTGACAATGTGGGAGACAGTGGTGCTGGCTCGAAAGTTGAATCCCTGCCATCCGTGCGGGAGTCTGGATTGTCTTCCTCACCTCTGGCCTTGGCTCCTGCCCCTCAATATCATCGCAAGAATGAATCAAATGGGAGCTCGCTTTCTTTGTCTCTCAAATCAAGAAATACATTTTAAAAATAAAAATTTTCTGTATGTGGTTATTTTCCATAAAGCATTTTAAGAAATGAATGAAATAATGAACATTATTGAATGTCAATTTTGTGCCAAGAACTTTTTAAAAGTTTTATTGACATACCCTATCTCATTTAATTCTTGCTAAGCCCCTACAATCTCATTCCTAGAAAACTGAGGCATAGAGGGTATAAGTAATTTGAAAGTAATTCGCTCTAATTAGATATAATTCACAGAGCTAAATAGCTAAGTGCTCAAAGGAGAAGCAGCAAGGCAACATGAAAGCTAATATGATTGGGTAGAGCTCAAGAGAACTGAAAAAAAAATGAAATCCATACAGCATTAACAGATTGAAAACAACACATAGCAAAGCAGATACTGCAAATAACATGGAGTCAAAGAATGAGGAAAACAGGAATATTAATATGTCTCAAAACCAAGTAGATAGTGATTCCATTGAAAGGATATTGTAAGTCATAGAAGAAAAGATGTTGCAGCAGTTAAAAATTATTCATGTAAAATATTTTCTTTATGTCAAAACGTGGTACCAAATTTGTCCTCTATCTCTAATTTCTGTCCATTTAAAAAGTGGAAAGATGACATCACCCGAACGATGGATTTGAAATCCAGTTTATTGCCAATGTTACCTTTGAGAAGGCCAGCACTGCCCTGGCCACTCTCCTGCCTGCTGAGCTGGAGCCACGTGGTCTAGCTGCTAGTCACTGTATTTCTTCCGTGCGGAGGGAGCTACATGCAAATCCCAGATGATTACTTGGCAGATATTATAACTGAGAAACTCACTGATGGATGAGGCACTATTGTTGCTTTCAAAGTCTTGGAATGAACACGGCAAAGTTGAAAAGCGCCATGTGAGAAGTTTGTAGCGACAGTTTGATGCCTCAGCTGCTATTTCTCAGTTACGGTAGGGGCTGTGAAACATTTCCAACATGTGGAGGGCTGGGAAGTGCAGTGAACTTTTTATGAACTTCAAGAACAAATGGTGTTTACACAAGTGTTTATGATGAGTAAGTAGATCAGTCCGTATCTCTTATTTTGAGGAATGCATGAGGAATTCTTATTCAGGAAAGAGAATTTCCTTTTAATCTTACAGAGAAACTTTTGGAATTATTGAATATTTAATGTAGAATTCAGATTTCAAAGTTAAGCCTTTCCTAGGTTTACAGATACAAAGGAAAGGAACATTCATTCTGTTTTTTATTTTATTTGTTGAATGGAAATTGTTTTTTACTTGTTTTGGCATTCGATCATACTGAAAATACATAAAGAATGAAGCACAGTTATACCCAGTTGGTGCCCTACTTTAGATTAAAACCAGAAAATAGAGCATTGTGTTTCCCTCCTTATTTACTTGTCCTATGCATTTTTGTGCCGTGTCATGGTGCTCAGCACTGTGCCCTGAAACGCTAGCTGATTTAATTTAATGACTCATATTGACAGATTTTGCTTTGGACACTAAAATACAAGGACGTTCATAATTTAAATACATATTGAGGTTTATTAATAATAATATTTATATCAGCACAATTCAGATTGAAATTTATCCTATCCCTTTCCATGTCTACATGGTCATTTTTTCATAAATTTATCTTTGTGTTCAGTAGAATTATAACTCTGGAATAGCTTAATTTTATTGACTAAATCATAGTAAATCCAGATCTTCATACAGTTCCCTAAAGGGAATATTGGTTGGTGACAACTTCTTTTAACTTGCCAGTCCACCTAAATGCTCTTATCAGATAGAACTGTTTACAAAAATGCTAATGTTCTATAAAATCTGTCATTGTAATGAGAATTAATACATTGATAAACATATTAGGTAGAGGTTGAAAAAGAAAATGACAAATTTGGAGGTGATTAAAGGACTATAGCCAACCAACTTTCCTCATTTGAAATAATAGTTACTCAACGAGGCATGACAGTTATGACACTTGCCAATCCCAAAGCCACGTCTAAGGGAAAAAATTTCACTTTTTTGTTTTGTTGACAGGCAAGATTGCTTTCTACACCCACTTTTATACAGTGCGATGCCGTTCATAACCACATCTTACTAGACTGCATGCAGCACCCAAGAGAAGTGGGTCACTCAGATTTTAAAGGTGACCAATGGAAATTGCCCTAAATATTGTCAGCATGTGAATTAGGAGCACTAGACTCTGATTTCCTTCTTTTCTGTGTGTTAATGTCCAATAATTATTTTCACATTTCTCCTTAGAGTAATCTGACTTATCAAAAACCTACTGGAGATAGCTCACTAGGGTCTGATACTGTCCCTACACCCATCCCAGGCATGACACAAAGAATGGTTGCAAGATAGGCATATGAGGTGAATATGATAGTATGTTGAAGCTGTCAGATTATACATTCCATTCTAACTAAGTCATTAAATGAGATGTATTAGTAGGACTAGTATAGTCAATATGCCTTACCACATGGAACAAGCTTGGTTGAGAAAGAGAGTGAGAGTTTTTTTTTTAATTTTTTTTATTAAGATTGTATTTATTTGAGAGGCAGATTTACAGACAGGGAGAGGGAGAGACACAGAGAGAAGAGGTCTCCCATCTGCTGGTTCACTCCCCAAATAGACAGAATGGCTGGAGCTGGGCCAATCCTATGCCAGGAGCCAGGAGCTTCTTCTGGGTCTCCCATGTGGATGCAGGGGCCCATGCACTTGGGCCAGCTTCTACTGCTTTCCCAGGCCATAAAAAGACCTGGATCAGAAGAGGAACAATGGGAACATGAACCAGCACCCATATGGGATTCCAGCACTGCAGATGGAGGCTTATCCCACTGTACCATTGTACTGTCCTCAGAGAGAGAGAGGTTTGAGCCCCTGAAATATATTCAACTTAAATGGTAAACTTCTACTTAATCAATTCTGCATACGAGTAAATGTTGATTTCTGTTCATGTTAACTTTTTAAGTCTTTAGTTGTCTATTAATTTTTGTAATAGAAAGTATCCCAATTCAGCCTAAGAATATGTACTCATAGGCAAAGGGAAACATAAATGAAGCAGAGATAGAGGCCTTTCATAAGGCAAAGAAAATGATAAGGAATCATAAGGAAAGCAAAGTTAGGAGAAAGTGGAGGTTATCAAGGAGATAGAATGATTTAAGAAAAAGAATGAAGAGCAGATATTTGGATGACAGTAATACTATATATTTTTTTTCGACAGGCAGAGTGGACAGTGAGAGAGAGAGACAGAGAGAAAGGTCTTCCTTTGCTTGGTTCACCCTCCAATGGCTGCCGCGGCCGGCGCGCTGCGGCCGCTGCACCGCGCTGATCCGATGGCAGGAGCCAGGTACTTATCCTGGTCTCCCATGGGGTGCAGGGCCCAAGGACTTGGGCCATCCTCCACTGTACTCCCTGGCCACAGCAGAGAGCTGGCCTGGAAGAGGGGCAACTGGGACAGACTCTGGCGCCCTGACCGGGACTAGAACCCGGTGTGCCAGCGCTGCTAGGTGGAGGATTAGCCTGTTGAGCTGCGGTGCCGGCAGTAATACTATATTAAAGACTGATCACTACTGATCTACTTAGAATTCAGTTCCAGTCTGTGTGATGCCATGGAACACGAATGGTTCCCCTTATTCTTTAAACCCAGTTGCATGCCTTTTTTCATGTCTTCATATCCACTGGCATCCTTACAATAAATTCTTCCTCCAATGTTTGGTGGTAACTTGTATAATTATTTTACTTACATGCACAAGGAACCAATTAAAGAAAATTATTTTAATTTTTAAATGAAATATTCAAAAGTTTCACATTCCTACACCACCACCATAGATTTGTGCCAGTTATTGAAAACATTTGAGTTAGGGAAATTACCATTTTAATCAGAAAGATTTTAATAGATGATAATATATAGTTAATTTTTATTTTAAAGTTCCAGATTTTAGCAATTTCATTTATATCAGTATTTCTTTAATAGATATTCAGTCAAATGTTTTCAAATTAAATAAAAAGAAAAGTCAGACTCAAATTTATGATCAATAAACTAATGTTATATACTTCACAACTCAGAGTCGTTAGGCAGAGTTGGTTTCAGATTCCATATGATGTATCATTCAAATTTCACAAAAAAGCATGAAATAAACAAGTACTTACAAAATGCAACTTTCTAAAGATGATCAAAAAAATGAGAGGGAAACAAGAAAACCTAATTTGTCAAGTATATTTTAAAAGTGTAATCTGTCATGAAAATCTTATCCAAGATTCTAATCCTGGTTGATAGAATAGCTTATTTATGACTAATGCTTGTGTAGATAAAAATGACAAACACTGGATAAAAATATTCAAATAAAATAGTGAGGACCCAAAGTAGATAGGAACCAGAAGGCATAAACCCTTCAAAGGAGATTCTTTCCTCTCTGCATCTGAAAGTGCCCTTTGGTTAGTGTACTCCTGGAATTGTACTGACTTGCAAAGAGCAAGAAAGCAAATCCCTTAGAGGACGATGTAACAGAGGGGAGAGTCCCAAATCTGGTAAGTATTGAACTACACAAATGCAAAGGAAATTTCAAGAACTCAGATTAAAACACCAGCTGGAAGACTAAGAAATGCACAGTTTCAACTGATGCCAACTTCAAGAAAGCCTAAATTGTCAGTTTTCACTGTTGATTTAATTCCTAGTAGAATAAAACTCATTATTCTTCAGAAAGATAGAACATAATTTCTGCAATGACTCCCTCACAATACCTACAGTAAAGTGAAGAAGTGATACATAATGAGAAAAATAAGTGATTATAGTTAAGAAAATAGTCAATGCTAAAATACCTTGAATCTTGAATTCAATAAAAAAAGATAGATAATAATAAATGAGCTTAAAAACTTAAAGTGTAAGATCTTAATGATGAATAGGTTTTTTTTTGTTTTTTTTTTTTTTTTTTTTTTTTTTTTTCTTAAACAGGCAGAGTGGACAGTGAGAGAGAGAGACAGAGAGAAAGGTCTTCCTTTGCCATTGGTTCACCCTCCAGTGGCCGCCACGGCCGGCGCACTGCGGCCGGCGCACAGCGCTGATCCGAAGGCAGGAGCCAGGTGCTTCTCCTGGTCTCCCATGGGGTGCAGGGCCCAAGCACTTGGGCCATCCTCCACTGTACTCCCTGGCCACAGCAGAGAGCTGGCCTGGAAGAGGAGCAACCGGGACAGAATCCGGCACCCCAACCGGGACTAGAACCCGGTGTGCCGGCGCCGCAAGGTGGAGGATTAGCCTATTGAGCCACGGCGCCGGCCATGAATAGGTTTTCAATAGTAAATTCAAGTGACTAACCAAAGCAACTTTTGAGAAGTTTCAATGTGAAGAAGTACTCTGGGATTCATTACCACCAATGATAGCACTGCTCTATTGTAATATAACTACCCTAAATGACAATCTCTGGACCATCAAAACCAAGCACTAGATGCAGATACTTCAAAAATGTGTGGAAAAATACAAATAAAACCCAAGCTTATTTAGGTGCAATTTTCTGAAATTCATGTTTGTTTGTTTTTTAATAAAATGCATTTTCAGGAACTTTTGAAGACCCCCTCATTTTTTGTTTCTTTTACTTTAGCTCCTACCAAAATACCTTACCCCACTGATACTTACATATTTCACTGGATGAAGAGATGATTAAATAAATGAAGGAATGATTGAATGAAAGAAGGCATTGTCGAGTGAAAGGGAAATCAGCAAAGGGAAGAACATTTAAGTAAAAGAAGTTGAGTTCAGGGGGCAGGTATGTTGTAATGCACACGTTGGGAGGCAGAAGATGATGGAGTGAGTAATTGGTTGTCTGCTACCCACATGGGACTCACATCCCTGTTTCTGACTTGGAACTGGCTCAGCCCCATCAGTTTCAGTTACTCTAGGGAGTAAACCAGTGGGTGGAAGACCACTATCTGTCACTCTCTCTGTCTCTCTGACT